TATATAAGATATATGTATATAAAATAAATAAACAAATTTAAAGGACTCTTTCAAAACATAATAACAAAACTCAATCAACGGGCGAAGTAAGAGTCAACCACATTTTTTAAAATTTTCGTAAAATTATATATTATATTAACAGCGATGAAACATCACGCAAAAAATTAGACTATAAACTAATAAGATATATGTATTATATATACACACACACGCGCACACACACACACACGCGCGCGCGCGCGCGCGCACACACACACACACACACACACACACACAGAGGTCTATTTTAATCGAATATCTTGAATAATTCGCTTATTGATGATATAGAGTGCGATCTACTTGGCGCTACAAATGCTTCGAAGTATTTGATGGACCAATTAGAAGAAAGAATTTTACAAACTGACCAGTTAAAAAACGCTTCAAACGTTTGCAGCATCGCATTGAGAACCAAAAAAACATAGACAATAACAATAGTAACTATATTTTCTTAAAGAAAATAAAGGACAAATCTGAAAATTTTTGGGCTTTGTTTCTACATGTTTTTAAACCAGTTTGACTGTCAAGAATCTGTGCATTGTAAAATTATGTTGCACTGTATCTCAATTAAATTGATGCGCTGTTTTCTAATAATTTAAAACTAGTTCAAACAAATCCTTTTGGAACAACCATACCTTGATCCGAATTAATAAAAAGTTCGAAGTAATAAAAAATGAAAACAACCCGAGTTTGAAAACAAACAAGTTCGATAAATTTAATTTTAAAAATTAAGAAATATAATTAACAAAAATAAATTGTATTGTATGCATGAAACTGAAAATATTTTTTGTAAAAATTTATTTATTAATATAATATTATGTAACATACATATTGGAACGCTAATTAAAAAATTTCCTGTAATATCAAAATAAAGGACAGTAAAGGACAATATTAAAAAATAAAGGACAAAATTAAGTTTTGAAGAAACAATAGATCTAAAGGACAGCTATCCAAAATAAAGAACTTTCCTTTACAATAAAGGACATATGGTCACTATAACAATACAATACCTTACGAGATTTGGTACATGAAAAAGGTCGGGATGTTCACTCTCGGGTTTTTCTCTGCTCCTACTGCTTACTTCAACGATTACTCATTGGAAAAAGTAGGAACTATGGTAGAAGAATATTGGATGTGATGCGAATAAGCTTTATCGTACGTCTATTTTGCAAAACTGTTGATAAGATCGTAGTGATGGCGAATATGGCACGTGATCGTGCTAAAAAGTCCCTCTCAGCTTTTATCAGTGCAGTCCTAATATTAGCATATATTTATTGCTTTTTTATGGCCAAATTAATTTTAATTTTTTTCAATTTCATTTACGCCACTTTAAAATGTTATTTTTATCAATAATATAATTTTTTATTATGATACAATTTTTTTTATTTATAATTAACATATTATAAATTATTATAAGAGTAATTAAATAAATAATTATCGTCAATAGCTATTACCCATCAGGTAGCAAAGTTTGTCATTTTGACGTCATATTTTGGGCCTTTACTGACCATTACTGACGTCTTAATGAAGTTAAATTGACGTTCAAATATCACAAACGATTGACATCATCAGTAAGCCATCATTTTGATGTTATATCTCGGTCTTTTGCTGATCATTATATTATAATACCCAACTGATGACTTATGATGTCAATATGACGGTTACGGAGTGACGTTACGAAAATGACCTCGATATGCCGTCGATGTTACGAAATGATGTCAGTATATATGACGTCATGGAATATTGTCGAATAAAAATCTATGGTCACTTTTGGGTTCTTTGGCATTATTTTTACAAACATGTTGAATTGATATGATTTGAATTGATATGATTTGAATAGATATGATTTGAATTGATGTCAAAATGACTTTGTTACCTGACAATTTTTACATACTTTCTGTATAATCATTTTGTTTAAATGCATAAAATTGAAAAATATGTACATTAAAAATAATCAAGTTGTATTCGAAATTGAAATCTCTTTCATTTTTTGATTATTTTTAAGTGTTGAAAGACGGAAAACGTAGATCAGTATCTTTAAGATTTTCTTCGATCCATTTCTCTATTTTTACATTTAATTCTGGAGTGAAAATGTCTTCCGAATTCCCATTTCCTCCTTTTCTAATAAAAGAATTATCCTTAATTATTTTACAAGCCTTCAACTCAGAGTAATTCACCATCGGATTGTTTCTAAAATTTTGGATATTGAGATGATTTGTCAGCTTGTTAATTTCTTCATCAGAGAGAGTGTATGTTTTACCCAAAAATTTTGCTACTTTCTTAATTGTTTTTGGAAAATCCTGAAAAAAGAACAAAAATAATTTTCTTCAATATATATATATATTACATAAAAAACAAGCTTAAACAATAAAGATGTTAGTATCTTTTTGGTGAATTAATTATTAATTATTTAATTATTTGTTAGTTGAGCTTTATACAATTAAAATATATACAGAATATAAATATTTAAAAATAATTAGAATGTATTGTTATATGATTTAAAAAATGTTTTATTATTTAAAAAATGTTAAAGATGTTTTATACATATTTTTCAAAATGATAACAAAATTATGAAAAAATTACAAATTATTCTAAATCACGTTTAATAATAATACGACAAATTTGGTGATGATTTATTATCTGGATCATAAGTTATTTTAATAAATAGTTCTTTTTTAATCTGTGCTCTAATAAAAATATAAGGAAATGTATTATAAAATAAATAATAAAAATCTCAATTTTAATATAAGTACATTATGTATTCAAGACTATTTACGTAGAGTTACATTGCGATGCATGAACTAGTTATCCAATAAATAAACGAAATATTTATTCGTTTTATATCTTTGTAACTAATTAGTAAATTGCAATAAAACTTTGCGTAAATTATTTTAAATATTTAAAATACTTATAAAAAAAAATGTAAATTATTTATAATTTTTTAAATTTTCATTTTTAATAATAAAAATAATAACAAATAAAATAAATAAACTATAAAAATGTGTTATTAAACAAAAATATAGCCTTATATTCACACAATATTCATATGTTTGTGTATTTATAAAAAAATTAAAAAAAAAAAGAAATTCTTGCGTTACATATATGTTTTCATCTGCAGAACAGTATGAAGTATGCATTTAAATGAACGAAAACGACGTTTTAGAAATAAAGAAATTTTTAAATATATTTTATACATTTATTTTAGGTATTTTGTACAGATGATGAATGCCCTATGAAAAAAAAAAAAAGAATATGTGGCATTACTTATATTTAATATGTCAATTTTGCGGCCTATTTTACCAGACGCACATTTTTCCTTATCTTATGAAAAAGTAAATTGTTGCAAAATTGCAAAAGATATTATAAAAATTGCTATATTATCTGGTAGAAAACATTTTATAGTTTGTATTTATGTTTCTACAGTTTTATTTTTAACTTTTGTGTAAGAAATATTCCAAAAGCAAAGTAATATGTCGGTATCGGTGACTTTTCTCTGTTTAATTGAGAACAAAATTTTTGTCTATACTTACGTGTATCACCTCCTCATAAAATAAGAATAAAATATTTTTTGAATTCCTCAAATTCCAGGCTTCTTTTAGATGTTCCCAATACGGCGACCAAGGCGCTTTATAAAATAAAAAAATAATATAAAAAGATAACGGCATTAAAAATTATCTTTTTAAAGCACCCTTTCATCCTTCTTCCAAAAAGAGAACAAATATATATATAAGTCAACAATAGTAAAAGTCATATCGAATGTCTAAGTAGAAAAATCAATGCTTTGAGAGATTACACACACACACACACACACACACACGCGCGCGCGCGCGCGCGACAGAGAAAGAGAGTGCAGATTATTTTTAAAAAATGTTTACGTAGATATATGTATTATTTTTATTTAAATTGTGTTGGGTTTTTTGGGATAAGTCCATTTTAATTTAACGACTAATACTTTTTTCTTTCTACTAAACACACAATTTTTGTTCATAGAATTTAATAAAGAATAAAATTTTTACAGAAGGAAAATAGACATGATATATTTTATTCTTGGCTGGAAGATCCAACTTTGCATGAATCATTAGTCATAGCTGATAGCTAAAAAAATTTATTGCAAAATTATATTTAAAAAATTAGTACTTTAAACTTTTTTATTCATGTTTAAGTTACTGATTAGTATTTGTAAAAATATAAAAATTACAGTTTAAATGTATAAAATATATGTATGGTATAAAATTTTTTGTGCAGAAGAATTTTTATAAAAAAAACTTTTAGAACTATAAAATTATAAGAACTATAAAATTATGTATTAGTTATTTTCAATTTTAGTTTTTGGATTTATCTTATATATAGAATTAGTAGTTTTAATTTTATACATTTCATTTTATATTCTATTTCTAAAACCTTAATTTTTGTCAAAATAAAAGAATAATTTTACTTTTTAATTTTACTATTGGATCTATTCAATCTTTTCAATCTCTTACATTACATTCAAAATCTATTTCTTACGAATTAATATATGGATACAAATAAATCGTCCAGATAAAACTTCCAGAAAAACATTGGACATCCACATGAATGTGATAAATAATACAAATATCTACGATAAGATACAGAGAAGTAAGAAATATAGCTCTTTCTCTGGATATGTTCTACTTACTTAAATTATTTAGAAAATACTCGAAAAAGGTAGAAAAGTCACCCAAAAACCCTTGCGTCGAAATTGAGCGATTAAGGTGATACCATGAAGACACAACATCTTTGGGGTTGCGAGCTATGTACACAATCTAAGGAAAAGTGTTACAAAAGACATTTAAATGACATTTAGTAAAAAGAATCTTTTCATTTTTTTTAATTATTACCTTACAACCAACATCTAAAAGTCCAGGTAACATACTGAACGGAAAATGGCTTTTTATAAATCTAGGTGTGTGTGATGGCATTTCAGCGATAACTTTATAACCGGGCAAAGCTATTTCCCGACACAATTGTTGCTTTACTGTGTCATCTTTGTTGAAAAGAAGAAATTCTTGGGTCACTTCAGGATGATTAAATAAACTGAATCTATAAGAATAAAGATACAATTTAAGGATGTTTTATACATATTTTCAAAATGATAACAAAATTTATAAAAAAATTATTGATTATTCTAAATTACGTTTAAAAATAATACGACAAATTTCGGTTTACTATGTGGATCATAAGTTATTTTAATAAAGAGAAATATTTTTTTAAATCTGTGTTCTAAACACAAAAATACATGGAAATGTATAATAAAATAAATGACAAAAATCTTAATTTTTTAGTATATAAGTACATTATGCATTTAAAATTATTTACATAGAGTTATATTGCAATGCATAAACTCGTTATCCAGTAAATAAACAAAATATTTATTTGTTTTATATCTTTGTAATTAATCAGTGAATCGCAATGAAACTTTGCATAAATAATCTGGAATATTTAAAATACTTATAAAAGAAAAATGTGTAAATTATTTATAATTTTTTAAATTTTCATTTTTAACAATAAAAATAATAACAAATAAAATAAATAAACTACAAAAATGTTTGTGTTATTAAATAAAAATATATAATCTTATTCACATAACTTTCATATGTTTATTTGAAGTTTTGTAAGTAATTAAACATACTTCAAAGAAATTTTCTTTGCAAGGACTGTACGTCAAATACATCCATAACAAACATTGACAAAAGATAATAAGATTTAATATTTCAATTTAATAATAGTAATAAAAAGTAATAAAATAACATAAAAGTTAAAATTACAATAAACAATTATAGAAATGCTTTTAAATATAAAGATTATAAGCAGTAAAAATATGTGAACTAAAAATGTATAAATAATATAAATAATATAAATGAGTTAAATTAGACCGCTTATTAATAAATCAAATTAAGTAAAGAAGCGTCAGACGGTTAGGACTAAATTTTACAATTAGAGGGCTTAATAATATTTTTATATGAATATTTAAATAAATTTTCTAGTATTTCAAACGCTTATCAAACACCCAGTGAGAAATGATAATAGAATCGATATCGAATCGATATTATCAAATCGATGCCAAATCGATTTATTGTCACCGATTTTATTGTCATTTCTCATTAGACATAGCCTGTCTTTGAGAACATAATTCTAATTACGTTTTTTATTGGCACAACTTAAAGCCGTTGTACATAAATTAATGTAAAGATGTACGTTTAATAAAAATATAGAAATGAGTTAAACCGCGAAATCCTCAATATATTTTATTATGCTATTTGATAAAATTGTACATTGAGCATTTTTAGAGAAAAGTGCCATATTTTCTAATTTGACTCGCAGTTGTATACATTCAATTTTCAATATATAAGATATAATACATAATTGCTATGTAATACATTATATAATTTTGTCTACATTATATGTATACTGTAATAATAAATAATAGAAAATATCTTAAATATTTCAAACAAAATGAATAAATAAAAATAAAATATATAACATCTGCCTGGAGCTGATTATAAAAATGTTTATTCATGTTTTTATTTTAGCATTGTAAAAAAAGTTAATAAAATTATACAGTTTGCAGAGAAAATATAAAATTGTGTTAAATAAAGATAATCTTATAATGGCTCAATAATAATAGACAGACATAAATAATAAAAAGGGGCTACGAGCCAGATTTTTATATATTAAAAATTTTAAAACATACGTTTCGACCTTATTATTAGATATCTTCAGTGTATACATGTAAAGAACGCAAATTTAACAAAATTAATAAAACGGTTAGGTACAATTTCTACAGATTATAGTTATGTAAAGTGTCGGTAGTATTTCTTTATATCTATTTTCTGTTGCAATAATACTTTCAGTCTTGTAATATTCTCAGTTACATTCTTCCATTATATCGGTCGCAAATGATGATTAGTCGATAGTGATGATAAAATTATTTAAACTTATTGAGTCATTCAATAAAAATATAAATAAAAAATAGTATCTAATAATATAGTATAGTTTAAAAAAATTGTGATTAATTTCCTATACAGAACAGACATATCCCCAAGGCATATCTTAAGGATATTCAAAGAACGTTCCTATGTTCTAAGAATGATATTTGGATGAAGTGTTCTATGTGGGTTGATGGCAAATTATTATATATAAATGAATACTTAAACTTAACTTCGATTTTAAGTTAACTTTTGTAAATTGTTTAATTTCTGTAAAGAAGAATATAATATAAGTGTTTTATTCGTAAGATGTAACTTTACTATTACGTGTGAAAATATGTACACCTTTAATAGTGAGAGTCAAAATCACTCATTATAATTGTTATAATTGTACTTGAAGTTCTTTTACAATGTATTATCATTTACATACATATAAACACAGATACTCACTCAAAAAATGGGAACCTTTCAGTAAGTAGACGCTTTTTTGCTACGTCAAAATTCAAATCGTTTGCCAACAGCCATATGAGCTCTTGCATCACAGTCGTTCCTATATATAATATTTATATATATAATTTATATATAATATAATTTTATATAGAAATAAAATTACAAGTAATAAAATTTTTTTTTTACATGTAAGAAAAGGGTAATTTATCTTTTTGGTTATTAAAGTGATCTTAAATAAAATTTAAACCATTTTTTGATAAAAAATCCGATAGAAATAATTAAATTCTTATAAAATTTTATCGTTATTTATAAAGCCTATTGTAGGCATTTTTCAAGTTAGACGCAACTGTTATCGTATTGAATCAATTTTTATAATATCTTTTTTTAGACCAATAGAAATTCTTTAATTATCGTATTTATATTCATTGAATTGATTCATTTTATTCACAAATTATTCTCATGGAATTGACAATAAAATATCATTCGGAATTTATTTGGTATTTTGGCATGAATATCTTCTATCAGATTCAATGTAAGATACTTGATAGAAATTTTATCAATTCCGATGACTAATTCACGTATTCGTTATGTGACATTGATGATAGAAAATCATTCGGAACTTATTTGATATTTTGTATGAATATCTTCTTCAGATTCAATGTAAAATATATAATAAAAAATTTGTTAATTACACAATATGTAATTAACGTATTAGTTTTTTTAGACGGGATTAAAGATAGGAAATCTATCAAAATTTATTTGATATTTTATATAATAGTTTTCTATCTCATGTAATGTGGGAAACATGATAGAGGATCTATTATCAATTCTAATAAGTAAGGGACGTAATCGTTATTTATATGGAATTAAAGATAGAAAATATATTAAAATTTATGTAATTTTTTAATAACAATTCTCTATCAGATACAATCTGATAGGTATGGTAATTGTGATTAGTCAATTCTACTGCCATTACGAATATCGGTCGCATCTGCGCACATTTTCAAAAATTCACAGTTGTTTTTTTAATCCAATTCTTGGATCCTTTGAGTGTGCATTTTCACATTCAAAGCTAAATTTTTGGGAGTGCTCCACGATTCCACGCCATCCATGATAAAAACATATACAGGGTGTTTCTAGATTAAACCGCCAAACTTAAAATATGAATTTTGGACTTCAAAACAAATAAAAACTTCCTCTGGACGCGCAAACGTTTCGTTCAAAAGATATTTACTTTTGAAATTATACAGAAGTTGCAGTAGAAATAAATAATGTCGAAATAAGGTCTATCCTCTATTGCTTTAGTAATCAAAATTTAATTATTAAATGTTTTGTTCAAAACGATTTCCGTCACAAAATCCATATAAATATACCATTTGGTATATTCACTATTAGAATACGTACGAGGTATAATTATAAGTTTATTCTACAAAAACACTCAACAAACTAATAGCTACGAACTACGAGCTACAACTATGAGCTTTGCAAATAAAAGCCTATCAATGACCCTCGAGCTTCAGAACAAAAATAAGAGATATTTCAATTATTTATTTTCAGTTCTGTATATATAACTTTAAAAGTAAATATTTCTTGAACGAAGCATTTGCGAACATACGTAGGATAATTTTGCGAAACTAACTCTAAGTCCTGCATGACTAAATCCGCGAGTATAGGAGATAATGGAGAGCCCATGGGCAAACCGAAAGTTTGTCTGTAAAATTTGTCATTAAACATAAAAAAAGTGGAATTTACAACTAATTTTACGTATGGCTTATAGAGGCATAAATAAGCTCAACAGATTCATTAAAGTTCAGGAAGATGTTTCTACCTCAGTCTTCTCAATCTAATGTTGTTTGTAAGATTGATTGTAAATTTTTACTTTGCATCCCTTAAGGAATTTCCATCTTGGAGCAGATAGTCATATTCATCCTTAAGTCGTTTAAAACTGCAAAATTACGCTATCTAACTGTGCAAAATATATCTTCGATTTATGCGCTATCATTTCCAAGCAATCTCGATTTTTGCGCTGCAACCCTTTAGAAGATATATTTTGCATAGTTAGATAGCGTAGTTTTAAACGACTTAGGGATAAATAACATATGTCTGTTTGCTCTAAGAGGGAAGTGTCTTAAAGGATGCAGCGCAAAAATTGAAACTATGCGAATATGAAAGCGCATAAATAGCGCATAAATCCTGTCTATTTGATTTTCCAAATCGGTTGTTATTAACATGTGAAGAGGCTGACTGACGGCCTATTTAGCCCTTTCACAAAAAATTTTTTTAGCTAAATAATAAAGCACTAAAATGAGCGCAAAAAATTTTTTTGCGGATTTTGAGAGTGCATAAATAGCATTATTATATAATTTATTCATTAAGATTTAATTAAGAGAGAGGAGACAGCTAGGCAGACGTAATATTGTACATACCCGATCTTGGATGCGACAACAACCATGTGTCATCTGATCTAGCTTTAAAATTATAGAAGCCTTCAGCTTGTTCTATGTATCTAAACGGGAAAAAATATTTTTTCGGACCGACAAGAACAAATCCAGTTCTTTCGCCTTTAAAGAGCTTTAACATTTCCTTTGTCTTTTCTTCTGACAGAAGCTCGTAGTTTGGAGGTTGCCGAGCCATCTTTGTTGCTTATATCTTGTCCCACTTATATCTTGCTTATATCTTGTATCCACTTGATTGTTGATACAAAAATGTTTTATTTTATTATTACGTTTTGACTATTATTTACAATTGAAAGAATTAAAAAATGTAAACCACTATCAAAAGAGATTATATATGTAAAAAAAACTTTACAGTAAAAATGTTAATGTAATGCTAGACAGATATAATGATTTACAGTCGCGATTGATGCGAAGAGCCTGATAACTACTAACTTAACACGCGCGGTCAAATCTCCGAATGACAATTTTGTGAGGATCGACACGAAGAGTCTTTCCCTTTCCACCAACGGTCTCTCTATTCTTTGTGCCACTTGCGAAATTTTATTATTCCTCAGTTAGGTCGACATCAGACTACGTATTAGGCCGGTATTAAATCATGCATTGAAGATTGAGATTGAAGATTAAAATATTAAAATTTGACCAATCAAAACAAAAGAAGCCAAAATTTCTTCGTCCTCACTGTTGAAATTTCAATCTTTAATCTTCAATCTCAATCTTTAATACATAGTCTGATTCCGGCCTTAAGAAGATTGAAATTTAATTAATAAAACCAAAAGGAATTAAAATTTCTTATTAGTCGAGTTTCAATTTTTCAATTTTCAATCTCGATCTTCAATGCGTAGTCTGATTTCGACCTTACTGCTACTAATGTTCCTATACGCGTTACTATTTATTGCTGTTTACAACTGCAACATTAATTATTGAACTGTATTTGCTCATATAATATATTTATAAGTTGATTTAAATCTAGGATTTCAGTTATAGATGTAAAATGAAATTTCATCTACCAAACAGTTATGTCGTGTCTTATATCTATAAGACTCTTATATCTTTAAAATTTGTTTCATTAAATGGAACTGTTATTGGAACATGTGCAACGAACCTTATAAAATTAGTTCAATCTTGATAGTCATTCAATTTAGTAATTAAATGACCAAGATTAACTCGGACATCAACACCACGCGTTTTCTCTTCTTTTTATGTTATTAGTTTATGTGTGTATGCGCTGTCATGTAATTTTGTTAATTTATCTTTTGTACTGAAGAGGACCTTGGCAGTAGGTCGAAACGTATACATTTAATATTCACTTTGAATAAATGATATTATATAATACACACTAATAATCACTGTCGGCTCAAATTGGCATTTTATTTATTATTATTTTTTAGAATTAAGTATATTATTTTCAATTTTCGTAAAATTAACAAAGTATCTATAAGTTAACTAAAGGACGAACTCTCAATATTTTAAAGACAGATAACTTTTAGGTAACTTTAGATAATTTTTAGATAACTTTATTTTTTCTGTTATCTGAGTTCATGCTCGTGTCGAATTACTGCATGCAGTGCGTACCAAAGAGAATTCTGCTAATGAAAAAATCTATAATAAATAATTTTAGAAAAAAAAGATTGGCTAAACTCTACGTGTGGAAATTCCACATTCAGATTAATTTAAGTGTGAAGCTTTCCAAACATTTCATATATATAAATCACCGGCTCTATAGTAACTTAGTTTTATAGTCAACCCTTGGATTATTAATATAGATTGAAAATATCAACTGAGTGCTCGCTTTAATATTAATCGAGACACAGATTGTCTAACGGCCTACTAACAAGTTAAAGAATTCAATGGTGAAATTCATCACGCATCACATTCGTTAAAGAATTTAGGTTAGTCGGTTAACTTTCTCCACTTATTAATGCTTTCCAAACTTGCAAATACTTTCTTCTTTCTTCTTGAAAAGTCGACGGCGGCATTTGAAATCTTAATTGTATAAGAGAAGCATTTAGAATGCCAAAATAAAATTTTTTATTTAACATTTTTTAAGATTTAAGAAAATATATTTCTAATAAACTGAAAATATATTTCCAAAATATTATATATCAAACTAATATAAAATAGCAACGCGGGAAAAAATGTTTTATTATAATTATATATAATTATGTATGTAATTATATAAAATTATATAAAACTATATATATAATTATATTAAAAATTGACATATTTTATATACATATTTTATATTCCTATCAAATTCTTCAAAATCTTCTGTCCTCCCGGGAAAAAATGTTATATATATATATATATGAACATATTTTATATATAATTATATATAATTATATAACATTTGGTGTACTAGTGCAAATATACGGTAGAAACGCGCAGATATGTTCACCATTTTTAGAGGTCGATTGCCGGACCAGAGTTCTCTCTAGCCGAACTCTATACTCTAGAGACATTAGCCACTCTCTCCTTGTGAGACTCTCTAGGCTAGGCTTTACCGAGCGATTGAATATGATTAGTTAGATCTATAAATATACAACCAATTATGCTCATTTGCTTGGCAAACAGGCTAGTCGTTTTATCAACTTGAACGCGTCCAATCTTGAAGCCTTACTGCGAAGTCTCGACAATTTGGCCATCCAGCATCTCCAAAGCGGAATATATACATAGGTTGCGTTTAGCAGAGAAAATTAATTAGTTTGCACTTAATGATATTCTATAATATGATTGGTTCTTATCTTTAGTTCTTCATTAAATCTAAGTATAGGAACTAATCGTATTAAAGAATCACACTAAGCGCTAATTGATTAATTTTCTCTGATGAACGCAGCCAAAACTGTATCAAATCGGGATGACAGATATCTTAAGTACCTCTAAAGTCTCGAGCTTCAACGCTTAATTTGATTTACAAGGTCGACTGCCGCGTTTTTCTACTTTTAAAGCAGTGAGTTTGCGTTTGTGAAGCAGAGAATTTGTATAATTAAAGCGGAACGTATACATAAGGCTTTGCGCACAAAAAATGGAGGAAATATTAGGAATAGGAATAAATATTGAGATTTCTCTCAATCTACTAGAAACCGCGTATTCCGATGTAATCTGATATCTGATAGATTGAAATCTTAATCTAGATTTCACACAATCTATCAGATAGATTGAAAATAAAATCTTTATTCCTGTTCTTAATATTTATTCTATTGTGCGCAGGCCCTATATCGAGTCGAAATGACAGATATTTTAACCTCTAAAGTCTCGAACTTTAACGCTTAATAATTTGATTCATGAGGCCAACCGCCGCGTTTTTCTGCCAGATTCTTTCATTTTAAGTGAATACGCGTCGATTGAGAACATATTTATTAAGATTTTAGGAAGAGGAAAGGTATTTTAAATAATTACTAAAAAAAAGTTTTGTATTACCAGCTATTATCCTTCAAAAAATATGATTTTTTTACATGTAAATTTATTCAGAATATCACTGACAATTATTAATAATTATTTTTTGGTAAATAATTCCGAACTTTTTTTTGACAATTCAATATTATATAGTTTGTTACTGTTATTAACAGTTACAATATATATTTTTTTCCTGTTGTACCAAAATTTCAGTTTACAAATTAAAAACACTTTTGTTCATATAATGGCTGGAAATTGCAAGAGAGTAGTATTGTGTAAAGGATTATCTGAAAAGAGCAATCAGGAAACATATAGCAAGACATTGGAATCAGCCGGTTATAATTGCGAATGTTTACAAACTTTGAAATTCGAATTTGTGAATATTTCGGATCTGCGAGCATGTTTGTCAGTAGCTGACAGATATAGTGGTAATACATCATATTATTTTCAACAATTATATTACATAATTATTATTATATTATATAATTAATATTATATCTATCCCTTTTAATTAATTATAGGTTTAATATTAACTAGTCCTCGTACAGTTGAAGCTATTGTATTAGCAGTAAAAGAAGATGCTAGTATCCTGTATCATTGGGAACAGATGCCAACGTACTGTGTGGGATCTGTGACTGAGTCTCTCGCAAGAAATCAACTTAATTTGCAACATTGTGTAGGCAGTCAGTCTGGTAATTCAAAACAACTGGCTGAAAAAATTATTCTTGATATGAAGAAAGATTCCAAACCATTATTGTATCCATGCAGTGAAATTGCACGTGAAACTATCTCTTGTACTGTCGGAGATAGTGGAATTTCAATAAAAAAGATCATAGTTTATAGAACATTAGAGAGCGAAACTCTTGAACAAGAATTACCAAAAATACTCGAGAAATCTCCCAGTATATTTGTTTTTTTTAGTCCATCTACAGTTGAGCATATTACAGCACAACTTAAGAGAAATTTCTATAATGTCAAAGATATAAAAGCAGTAGCAATAGGACCTGTAACAAAAGATGCATTAATTGATTCTGGTTTTAATGTATATGCCACTGCGAATAAACCTGAACCAGCAGCTTTGATGCAAGCGATCACAACTGCTGATTCTATAGAAAATTTTAAAAAGAATAATTTATGACATGACGTCTTTTGGGTTGTTTGTCATAAAGATCGATCATGAAAAGCGGCAAACACACATTACAATTGTAATTTTGATTATTTAAATGTTTTATTATATTATATTGTTTTATTCAGAAAGATAATGTA